GCGTATCTTATTATTTATCGACGCGGAGGAAAAAAACACGTTCCCAATAGCACATGCACGTCGTTCGTAAACATCAATACATCGGCCTTTAAATTATCAATTTCCGCGCGCTCATCGATGCTATAATACTCGCGCAAACACAAGAGCTCTATCAGCCACGTAAAATTTCTTCACCGATTTTACATAACATCTACACATTTTACAACATGTTAATGAACGTTTTTCGACCCGTGTTTTGTTGCTCGGGATCGCCCCATCCAAAACACTTAGTTGCGCGCTAATAGAGCGATTCGCACTGCGTCGCGCGTTAAAATATTTTTCAACTCGTAAAAATTGACCATTAAATTTCGTATAAGCGAAATATGCTCACCTCAAATTGGCGGATGAACAGATACGACAACCGACGACAACTGCGGCAATAAAATTTTTTTCAATTAGGGTCTTGAGGCTTTCAAAAACAGTGCTGATGACGAATATTCCTGTGATGAAAAATAATGCCTTCCAATGACTTTGAACTAAAAAAAAATTAACAATTAGGAAATTGTTCCTGTAAAATTCAATTGAAACAATTTGAAAAACGTTTAATCCCGTAAAATGGTACCAACTATAACAAAGCAGATGTCAACGTGTAAGAGAAAACACGTGGGTCTGCAGTGAAGAGCAACAAATTGCATGACGCATTTTGTGATTTTCTCTGATTCTTTAAATCATATATCCCTGAAAAGTCTCTAAATTACCGATAGTAATTTTCAAACCCCATCATCATCATCATTTTGATTTACTCATTTCTACGCAGGTTGCAATCATCGGGTCGTGAATAGTACTCTTTTTATTACCTTCTAATCAAACTCCTGCTCTCACAGCTCATTAAACTCTAATTTTTGTGCTTTTGTCTCGTAAATCATTGGAGCGTCCATTAAACGTTTTACTCACCAACTCATGTCATAAAATATATTACTTGTGTAACATTACACTTAAAAAAAATTCAATAAAGTACAGTTTGTGATCCAAAATAATCCTCGAAACGCAGTGGCAATCCAATTTATCGACTAGCGCTGCCGTCACCTTCTCCACCGATTAAGACTATTCTTCTTTTCAACGACTTACCCAACGATGAAATCGCCTCCCATCGCGTTGCCCCCAAAAGATGTCAATGCTAGGAATTCGCGGACATGACGAGACGCGCCATCGGAGCGCGCAAAAAGCTTCATAAAGACCGAGCGAATGGTATTTATGAGACGAAGATTATGAAATCGCCCTCTCGTCTCTGTCGCGCGGCCATCTGCCGTGTACCAATAAGACTCCTTTTTAGCCGACGATTATCGTTATACAAGTTCTTACGGCTTGTGCGAACGAGCTCTCTTGTTTTTTTTTTTTTTTTTTTTTTTTTTTTTTTTTTTCTTTACGACGGTTCGAAGGAAATTTTCTTTTTCGGAATTCTGTACCCCACGGGAATTCCGTTCCGTGTGAAATTTAATTTCTCTCTTTAAAAATACCAAAGGTCAAATGAGTAGTTTGTTTTATTTCATCTTATTTTTCCAATCGGCTGTTAAATAAAAAGCGTTTAATGATGTAATTACACCCCATCAGCCGTAACGACCAGAGGTACACTTTTACCTTTGATCGTTCCGACCAGACCGCAAGACTGCGTCATTTGTTACTAATAAACAATCATTATTTATCGATCCAATGTACGAAATGATAATTACTGCAACTCCTTGTTAATTGTTCGAGCATTCAATTATATAATGTAGGCTTCTAAATTAAGTAGAAAAACTTTGTGTCAAACATTTGTAAAAGTAGGTAACATCGGGAAAAGAAATAATGATACTATATAGACACTTGTCTCATAAATTGAAAGAAAAATCATCTCACGTTTACTTTTCGTTGTACCAGTCACATGCATTCAAATCAATCCAGAAACCCAAAGACGTACGCGCCGAGTCATCCAAATCGAAAAAATTCGACTTGACATTCGCGTCATGCAACGTCGACACTTTTTTCCTCGATACCGGTTCGCCCGGTCCCAATATACATTTTCCGGCACGACAACATACCCCCTTTGCAAACACTTGTTTTTTTCTCTCTCCCCTTTTTTTTTCAATGCATCAATCGAGGATGAGGTCGCGTCCCGTCGCGCAAGTCCTAGCCATCGCGTTTCAATTCACATTGGGCAACGCACCTTTTAATTGTCGGTCGAGGTCGCAAAAGCGACTCGTCAACTTCACTCTCGATTCCCATGTCCGCATGTACTTTTATTTTCTTTTTTCTTTTTTTTTTTTCTTCAACAAACGTTTTGCAACTCTCCTTATTGCCAATTGTAGGGAGGTTCCTTTGTGATGGATTTCTTTCTTCATCGTCGTCATCGTATCTTTTTCTCTCACTCGCCAAATAATCCCATGATCGATGTTCTGTTAGATAACGCGGGCGTAAATGTGTTTTTTTTTTATGTAATTCTAAGTGAAAGTTTCACGGGAGTTAAAAAGTGATCACGGTCTTGCGAACCATATATATACGTATATAAGTCTTGGAATCATTGGCCTTGCCTTGAAACATTGACCATCACCAATTGTCATTTCTATTATTGTTGCTGTTGCAAAATAATGGCGATTCGGAAAACTGAATGTTTGGTATTGTGCGAGATGACATGTGTAATGTCACCTATGGGCAATAGTCGTTGTTAACAAACGTATAGATACACACATCGTAATCTGCCAGCCTATAAAATTTAAAGATGTGTTATGACTCTTTCAAAACAGACGCAGAAGCTCGTTTATGGCCTCAAAGTATACAAGCATAAGCACCGTAGGTAGAAAAAACACACGAAATTTCGGAAGCATTAAATACCAAATCCCCGTACGCGTACGTGCACATGTGTGCCGGTGGGGTGTAAGAGCCCCGTCGATTATTAGGAAAGAGAGCCACCTGAAATTTACGATCGCCGGAACACGCTCTCGAGCCTCCGCGTTATAATAATAATGATACCCGCAAGCGAGTATATATATATATATATGTATGATCTTACGTGGATGCTTTTTCGATTTGGCGCCACAAAACCAGGCTGCACGCGGTGAAACGACCGGCCGACTTTACGACGAGCTTGCAATGATTCTCATTTTTATCTTGTAGATGCTGTACTTTTTTGACTATGGGGTTTACCAATTCGTTGTGGATTATGACGAGTTGGCTATGAGGATTTTTACGAGGTTGATAGTTTGGAAATGCCTTGGAGCTCAATAAAAAAATTGTCAACTTTACAATAATTTTTTAGACGAATAATAAGCTCAGTTCCATATTATTATTATTTTCGCAATTTGTTGATTAACCCTTTCACTTGGTTTAAAGACTTGAGTTCAAGGTTTCTGAAGTATGAGAAAAATTCTGCTACTAAACAAGTTTTTTTTTTCTTCTTTATGATTCTACAATAATTTTTTATAAATCATGCAGGCTTCTTTCACATTCCAATAGTTGTAAATCAAAAATAAGCTTGCAAATAGAATAGATCTTACAATTTATAGAAATTGTTCCAGTGAATCAATGATTGTTATTTGCTATTAGATTATTTATGATTTTTTTTAAATGCACTATACACAGTGTGTTTCAGTCAGCAAATGAGTAACGATTGCATCTTGCAAAATGTCAAAAACATTTTAATGGTGGCAAATAAAAACTTGGTATTTTTTGCATCCGGACCATCGTTATTCTTCCTTTTCACCGATTCACGAAATTTTATTGCAGTTGTAGCCTTGGGTCGATTTTTTTAAATTTATTAGCGGAAATTTTTAAATACTAATTCATTAATTTGATCGCATCGAAAAATCATGTTTTCTATTTCTTTCTGTTAAACGTAATTTTTCGGTTGCTATAAATTGATCCCGGAAGGCTAAGAAATGTTCTTGTTATCATTTTAATTTTAATTACATTTGCATCGAATTAATCACAAATTTTTTACACAGAAATCAATTTAGATTTTTTAGCAATGCACAGCTCCTTTGACGTCTGAGATCCTCATATCCCCCAAAACTAGTAAAATGTTGTTCAGATCAGTTCGATCTTCGGCTAATTTTCAACCATACCGGTATCTTTGCATTGATTAACCACCTTTAAAAACTGTATGAATTTTTTGATAATTTATCACAGCATCGTATTGGTAAAGCAACTAATGTAAAACTGTTATTAAGAGTTAAAAATACGTGTAATGAAAAAAACAATAATTAATATGAGTATCACCATGTTGATTCATTACTCTATTCCCTATCACTGCCACTTATGATGAACGAGTTACGAAAAATGTGTTTCATATACCCTGAAAATTATTCAAATAAAAAATTTCACGACAAGGATAATTTGATCCTTGAAGGTATATTTATTGCAACGTGGTCAAATGTCACGGCAACACACTTGATTCCACACTGATAAGCCTTCCAGGCATGCACATCCATTGAGTATATATATGACGCTCGTGCGTAAGTGGAGTTTGGTTTGCCGCAAGATTAAACTATTCCCAACTCCTCTTTCCCAACTTCAGTGACAGCTTTGCTCATATACGTGAGTATAGCGTTGAGAAATTAAAATTCCTGGCTGATTCTCCTCGCCTTCGTCTAGTTTGTGAATATTTCTTGTTTATGCTCCGTTTGATAGCGCACATTAGCCGTTGAAGGCACACACATTGTGGTTACTGTCGGTTGCACGCATACCGTAAATTGATTGATGTGATAATAGCCTTTCAGTTAGCAGGATAAAAAAACGCTTCGTTGGCTAATTTACGTCCATTTTGAACTGTAATTAAATTATTAGTTGCATTGTACCACCAGTGCTGTGAATCATTCGCTTACCTCGTTTTTAATGGCTGCACTTTGCAGTTCTTCGCTTGCGATACCGATCCTTCGTATTTCACTTCAATATTAATAATTTTATTGTAGACGCAGGTGTTTGAAAACATCACATTTCTCTCAAGTGCTGAATATTATAATGACCACGATTCATTTTTATTGTTTCAGATCCAGAGATGTAACGTAGCCGTTGAAGTTTGCTGTACCATCAAGCCACCAGTCGTCGGTGAGTTGAAATATTTTTTCATAAGTTCAAGAATTTATAGTCTATGTAAAAGTGGGATTGCATTTTTTTCGGACTCATCAATTAATTGTAAATAGAAAAAAATCATGTTTTTTGGGATCCTTCGCTCTTGATAAAAAAAAACGTACTTATTGTGCCACTGAAAGAAACCAAGTCGATAAACGTTATCAGCTTGGAAATAAATTTGAGTTCACACTGGGCGTGAAATAAAAAAAAACAAAAAAAAGAAAAGAAAAGCAACACCCAAAACCTGAAAGTAGAATCTAACGCCCGTCGAAAGTCTTCAATCCCCGACAGCATCACGCACATGCAAACACACAATCGAGCGACTGTTACGAAACGAACGAAAACGAAGTAGGCCCGTATGGACCATTGGTGGAACTCGGGCGTCAAATCCAAGTAGCCGTCGGTGATTAGCATAAGAGTAACGGGGAGAAAAAGACATTTAATATTAAGCCACGCTGCGTGAAGAAAGGAAAAAAAAAAGATCCACATTATAATACAAAATGAAAACGAGAGGAGAAAAATTTCGTCCTAAGGCTTTTTTTTTTTTTTTTTTTAATATCAGATGGGTACGTATCGCAGAGCCTCTCTGCCCGGAGAAAGTTCGTTAAATGAAAGAAAAAAGGAAGAGGAAAGAAAAAGAAAAAAATGTGCCTGCCTCGAGGATTGTGCCGTGCTATGCTGTTACGTCAGGGGCTTGTTTATACACGGCGACGGGCAAGGGCGTCGCGCCAAAGAGGAGAGGAGGCCAACCCCGCATACCTACTTACTCTCTCGGCTGGCTTTTGTGCTCTGTTGGTATAGTCCGACGTTGTATACGAGCTTTTGTGTACGCGCGCGTTTTTTTCATTGTTGACTCGGAGCCCTTCGCTCGCACGAAGAAACCGGTATGGGCATCGCGCGGGAGATGACTCTCGCGGGTGAATATAAAAAAGGAGGAGAGGTTTATTGTAACTTTGGCGTTTTAATTGACGTGCGTGGATAAAGCGAGCGCGGGGACTTTTTTTATCTTTTTTTTTTTTTGTCGGAGGCGAGAGAAGACATCCGTGGCTATAAATCATACAGCGAATGAGTTGCTTTCGCGCATAGGTGGACAGCTAGATGATGTGTTCGCGTTGAATTGCTCGAAATGATCCTTCGAGGCGCGATTTCGGATGTTTTAGTGCTGAAAAAAGAAAAAAAAAAAAAAAAAAAAAAAAGTTGAGCAATTGAGGGCTCACGTATGGGTCGAAATCGCGAAATCCGCGTGACCTTAAACTTGCTGTTACGTCGGCATCACTTGCTCTTTCTACCACTAATAGAACCGAGAATCTCGGGAACTTCCGGACTCAGGTCTTTATTTTGATGCAATCAGTTCGTCACAGTTGGGTACGCATTTTGTTTTTCTACATTACCAAGGCTCACTTGGTTTGCATGAACTTTGATTCACTTTTTTTTCCAATTTTACCGTTTGAGTTGGCGTCCTGCGAAAAAAATCACATTTCTGATCAGCTTCGTACTTTGTACGTATCGGCGAAACTCCGTGGGGACAAAAGAAACGAGAGGCGTAAATCTTGATCATCACCATTGATACTTTTAGGACGAGCAACGCTTACTTTTTATTGTCTTTGTGTATGTACGTATATACCGTGCACTTTTATCACCCGTACAGCCTTTGTATTAAAAAATTGAACAATTTTTCATACCCAACGCACGGATGACTTTTAGATTTTTACCGCGCGATAAGCGTATATATACACGCCAAACGGCGGACCATAAGTTTTGCGAACGACCTCACGAGCATTCACGTAATGAGCCTTAAATAACAATCATCTAGAAAGCTCTCCCCGCGCCATCGTTTGCTACGAGCATCAGCCGCGGAACTTGATACTCGGATCGAATTTTTTTTTTCCCTCCAAACATTCGTTACGCAAAAAAAAAAGAAAGAAAGAAATAGTAATAAAATTCTTTAATGAACCATAAAGACATCGTCGGGTGCATTATGTACACGGTATTTTTTTTTATATTAATGTACACGGGAGTTAAACCATCGGTGGGTGCGAGTCTGGCGTGTGTGTACTCCGATTTTTGCAAGATTCGCGTGGTCGTGCGAGTTTGTTTTCACGCCAAGAATGCGCATTTATCTCCCGGGACTCCTTTGGGACGGAAATATTTGAGGCTGACAGCTATGGTTTTATGACAATGTGCCTCACTGCCGATCGAGTAAAAATCGGTTTGTTGGACTCAGATTGTGGGTGAAATATACCAATTCTCGAAAGATCTTTTAGCTTAATCATTTTGAAATTTCGGCAATACATCGATGTCCAGGTAAGGTCATTATAGGTATTCTTGTCCGTGCGAGTATGATCTCGTGAGAATTTGAAGAAAAAAAAGTTACCAAATTGGCCATTTCAAGAGTGACATCATCCGAGGGTGTCGATTCAAGCATTAGACATTTTGACAATGTTAAGGCAACTTATCATGTGTCCGACCTGTCCCTAGACTTTCTCTCTTTTCTCGTAACTTTCGATGTTAAGTAACACTGATATGCCGAAGAAATTGAAAAACTCGAATTCCGTCCACACGCGTGTACAACCCTTGCGCAACAGTTTTTTCATTTGCATGAATACGCACGAAAAATTATCGATTCGTAAAATATGTACGCGAAGACGAGAAACAAGAATCTCGGATTCCGCAAAGCGTACAGTTACGATCTTGACGTCGTTGGCAGTTCCGATACGTGTTTCCTTGCCTTATCGCAGAGTAAAATCGTAATTGGGTCTCATTATTGCAGCTCCGCGATTGGGATTTATTCATTACCATTTAATCGCGATGCAATAGATGGTATCGGTTTGAAGCTGGCGTTTGACTTTTAACACCTGATTTTATGGTCAAGTGTGCAAATTCAATTGGTAACGTTGGTTGGCAGAAATTTCCTGATGAGCCACGGAATCGGCATACGCGTAGGAACAGCTCGAAGCGTTTTTGAACTTGAACTTAATCGTGTCTTTCTTTTTTTTTTTTTTTATTTTATTTTATTTTTTCATTTGATGTGAAATTAAGTAACGTGGCTTTTATGAATCATTACAAGAGGAATCTGCATATTTTTTCCGCGTTCAACACTTGAAAACGCGATCTCCCGAGCTGCCGATTCTTGGGGTATGAGTCATGCGTGCAACCAACCCTGAAAATATTACCCGAGCTACCTTGGCCCAATTTACTCCCATTCTCGGGATGATTTTCGCAGAAAATTTTTACGAACCATAAATATACGTACGTGGCGATAGCTAGAGCTGCACGTAATACCATACATGGAAAAAAAAAAAAAAAAAAAAAGAAATATGTTAAGCAAAAAATAATCATCGGAGTTGGAGAAGAATGCAAATCGTTCGGGGGAAAAAAAAAATGGCACTCGTCTCCGCAAGGAGGAGAAATTCCAAAAGCAGGGGAATAATTTAACGCTGTTTTATTTCAGACAAGAAGCCAGATACCTCGAATGGATATCTGCCGCCGTACGGAAGCTCCCAGTCGCAAGATGTCTATGACGTTGTGCTACCACCTCATGATGACACCAAGGAGCCCGAGGGTATGAATTTTCATTTATAAAATTCATGATTAATACGTACACATCCACGCGATCTTTTCATCCATTAAACCTTTTTTCGCGAATTTCATTGCCTGTAGGAATAGTATTTTTTTTTTTTTTCCCGTACTCGTGTGATTTGTCAACTATTAGTCGTGCCCTGATGGTATAAGCTGATTATCGAAAACGATCAAACGCGCGGTTGGAAAAAAAAAAATTTGATGCTTTGTAGAATCGTTTCTCGAAATAACGAGCCATCGATTGTAATTTCACGCGATTGCAATACATTTCGAAAAACGGAGCCGCGCAACAATTTGAAAAAAAAAAAAAAAAAAAATCCAACGCTCGATCAAGTTGAAACGCTCAAACGAGTGCGCGGTAATCGATGACACGTGTAACAGGGCCTGTTACGTTGGGAGGTAGATTTTGGCGGGCGGGCGCGGATTTAATGGCACACGCGCCCGTCCATCTCCGGTTGGCGCATTGGGAAACATCCGCGAGCGCGAGGAGGGAACGGGAGGCCCGAAGAAAGTCTCGGGGATAAACGGGCGATCCGGACCCGGGCGATCATTAATCGGGAGTCCCAACGAGAACGCGTCATGCAACGCGCACATATAAGGTGCGCACCGCGCCGGGAGGACTTCAGTCTTGCGTTTGTTCTCGGCCGCTAGACCATTGGGCGCTGGACGTCCTGCGGCTCGTCATTTTCGCTCTCGTTCGTACTTTGGTTTTGCGAGAAAAACAAACAAATAAACACCGTTTCTTGATTATCGAGTGTTGGGACCATGGGTCGGCTCGAGTGTACAGTGATCGTTGCTTTGTCGGTGCTCTACTTTGGCATCAGCGCGGAGATTAGTAAGTTTTCAGTGGAATCGTCCATTATCATGGAGGCCAGTGCGTTTTGAGAAACTTTTTGCTTTTCACTTTTTTGTTTACATCATGTATAATCATTATTTTTATTTATGATGATTCATAAATTCGTTACTGTTGCTTCAAAGTGCTAAGGGTACGTTATTCGATCTAAACTATTTTTAGATACTACTTAATTTCATTCGTGTTGGACAATTATTTTTAAACGAAATTGCTTACTTGATTCGTGGATAATATTTTTGCCGAAAAATAAACTGCTACCCATCAGTACTTAAACAACAGTTTAGTTTCCAATCACACGATCGAATCGCAAGTTCTTTCCAAATTAAAACGCCATTCGTAAGGATTGCGTAAGAAACACGTTGGCGAAGAAAGTGCGGCCTGAAAAACAAAAATGTTCGTCGCACTAAAGCTTCGCTATAAACGCACTTTCGTTTTTTTCGCATATTTCGAGTTGTAAGTCTCGCACAGAGGTAAATATTAATGGCAAACGAAAATTCGTGCATTGTAGGTTCGGGAGCCACGAATCAAGGCACTGTTATTTTACCATCGTCTCCGGCTCCCGTCACCTATCAAACCGGATGCGCCGCAGCCTTGAAATGCGTCGAAGAACAGTACTGCACGATGATCGGTATGATCAGTGATACGCCCATCTCGCTAACTGATGCCCAGAAGCTCAGACGTGTGCCGATGGTGGTAAGTTATAGCTTCCTCATGTTATATATATGTAGATGAAAATTCGAGAGCTGGAAAAAAAAAAATTACATTTGTTTGCTCATCAAAGTTTTAAGAAGCCAACAGTTGAATAAAAAAAAAAAAAAAAAAAAAAAGAAACTCACACCTACAGGTGTCTTACGAAGCTTTCTTGCGACGTAATAAGTCATTTTGTTGATTTTAAATTTTGCTCCGTGACAACGTAATTACATGGCCCAAGGGAGTGCATACGTAACTCGTGTTGCATGTATAGAATTAAAAATATAAGTTGGAAGGATCTTGGGCTTAAGAATTGGGAAAGTTTTCTTGATTGCAGTTTCATTCGGCACTCTATTTTAAGTTGTGAAAAAAAAATGAGAATGGATGAGTTAAAAATAAGTTTTAAAAAACGATAAATTTCATGCGCGCTGAATAACAACCGAAATTTTACGTTTGTGCAGGATTGCAGAGATCCAGACAGCGGCATTGTTGGAAAATGCTGTCGTGATCCAAATTACGTGGACCCTTGGCCAGCAGGCAACTTACCCGCCAACTACAGCGGTGGTTTCGATGAGCAGGGATTCCCAACATTCCTCAACATCTCTAAGGCAAAGAAAGCCGGGCAATCGAATTTTCGGAAACCATCGTTCCCCACCCAACCCCTCAAACCGCAATCTCCTCCAAATTTTTCAATTCAGTCGGGTGAACTGATCAAATCCCAGTCCCAGCAAACTAAGAGCGCCACGGTTCAGCCGTTCGTGCCTCAGACTATTCAGACCGAGTCGACTCAGTCGTTCCCATCTCAACCGATCCAACCTGGTTTCTCAGACCAGAAAACAGCACTGCCGACACAGAACATTGTTCCATCGTTTCCGGAACAACCAGCCTTCCAGAAGCCAGTTTCACCCCAGCTGCCAACCTTCGATACTCCTCAGCAGCCACAGTTCTCCAAGGGCGGCGTCATTCAAGCAGGGTCAGCTTTTCCAGACCTTTTGCCAAAAAATGTTCCCCAGCCACAGTCGCCGCAGTATAACAACAATTTCCCCAATCAGCCAGCTCCATCTGGTTTCCAACGACCACCAACACCGCAGTCCACCAAAGGGTTCCCATCTCAACCATTACCGAATTTCCCACAGATAAGGCCACAACCTCCCAAGGATTTTCCAGCTCCAATTTTTCCCCAGCCCCAACCACAATCTAATAAGGACTATTCCCCAAATCAGCCAGGACCAATCATCCCGAAGCCACCACTTGACACTCAACCACCTTTCCAGAGTGTCTCGACAACACCAGCTTTTCCCCAACAGTCATCCACGGGTCAGCAATTCATTGACTCCCAATTCCTGCAGGGAGAGCCACAAGGCTATCCTGGGTTTCCAAAAACTACGATAAAACCACCCCAGGAAGAAGATCTCGTACCTTACCCGAGTGTAGAAAAGATCCCCCAATTCGGAGGTGTACACCAGCCAAGGCCGTTCCAGCAAACTCCGCAGTTTCAAGTTAATCCGATCAAGATCTCAAAACCAGTCACTGAAGGCCAGATCATTGGAACGCAAGTAAAGACTCACGAGCTCCAGAACAACAATGACCTCTTCAAGCCTCAGGTATCGTAAATGAAACATTCAATGATAATTGACACTCTGGCTGGTTTGCCAGACGTCCGCTCCCAGGAATTAAGAATAATTGAGAAACCTGGATTATTTCAGGAATATCCTGGCCAGACCTTACACGGAAAGGGGTACGAGGGCTCATCCACCAATCAAAACCTAGTCTCCATTCCACTACACACACCCGGAGCGCAGTGCGGTATCATCAATAGCGTAAGTACAACTGACACTCAAATTATTGATTGCAACAATCACCATTTTATGTTAATGGAATATTTTGTACGTATGGTTTTCAAAATCAGTATCCCTTTTGATTTGCTCACAAAACACATTTAATTTTCAATAAGTGTTCCATCGTAGTAACAGCAAATTTGACTCGGTTAATTACAATGCGATTGCGAAAAGATTACGTTACCTGATCGTTTATCGCGATGTACAAAATATCGGGGGGTCCATTACACGTTATTACGTATAGAAAGTAAGCCGAAGGATGATTTATTTTTCGTTCAACATCGATTGCTCAACAGAGCCCGCGTATCCGGGAATCAAACGTCGGGCTTACGCAACGCCTGCAGATTTCGTGAAGATGTATAAAAAGTGCTTGGTCATCGATCGAAGAAGCGCCAACTTTCGACGACTTTGATATTTTTCTTTCGCCTATACCTATTGACCAATTGACTATTTAAATTGGACGGCTCTCAGTATTTTTATGCAAATTAACGATGGGTCGGTTTATACTGTCGCAGGTTGCTAACCCATTGAAAACCAGCGACGTTGACGTAGGATTCGGTGCCATTCCCTGGCAAGCAATGATCCTCTCCAACGCTGAGAAGAAATTGCTCTGCTCTGGTGCTGTTGTTGCCCCCAACGTAGTTCTCACTGCTGCTCATTGTGTATACGGGTAAGCATCCTACCACCTTGTTTTTAAAATTAACGAGATGGTACGTCACGTTCGATCATCGTCTACAATAGACGTGTCAAATGTATGTTTTAAATTGTATCGTAGAATCTACCCGAGCGAGGTGTCGATCAAGGTTGGCGAGTGGAAACTCGGCTACGAGCTGAAACACGAGGAGCCTCTGCCCTTCGAAATCGTCCAAGTCCAATCGATCGTCTTCCACCCCAATTACCAGCCTGATGTAGCTGGTTACGACACTGCCCTACTTTTCCTGGAGAAGCCAGTCAAACTCGACCTCCACGTTGACACGATTTGCATTCCCCAAAACTTTGGCCCGCCAACCCAGAGAAGTTGCATTTCGGTCGGATGGGGCAAAGTCATCCTGCAAAGTAAGTTAGACAGGATATTATCCACGAATGTCACATCATGGATAAATCCAATGTACGACAAAATGTAGGGATAAAACCTTTTTTGGAGAGACTAAATATTGTATGTTTGACAACAGCCCACGCGGCTGGTGCATTGATGCACAAGATCGACGTGGACGTGCTGACCCAAGACCAGTGCGCCCAGCGCCTCCAAGATGCCGAGTCACAGGTGGATCTCGATGACAGCTTGGTCTGCGCCAAGGCCCACAAGCAGAACAACAACATGTGCCAAGTTGATGTTGGCGGTCCTCTGGCATGTGACCGTGGCGACGGAATTTACGAGCTCGTTGGTGTGTACAGTCGAGACACTGGATGTAATCCCGTCAACCAGGTAAGGCTCGTTTTTCTAGCTTTTTCGCTCATTTTTTGGGACACCATGTAGTCGTTGAAAAATATGTTCATTATCGTGTTTCACGTTAAATGTGCCTTTGAGTCCAATGTCACACGAGAAATTACGCGATTAGATGATTGTTTTTGATCTTAATAAATTTTGTTTTTGCAACGTCTCTGATTTTAGATCGATTTTAAAGTAAACTAGAGAGTGACTAATGTAATCCTTGGGGTGGACTTAATTTTTTTACATCGTTCAGTTGCATACGCAGAGATATTCGTTTGGTTTACCTTTGACAAACCTATGTAGAATACATTTTAATAAAGTTTGAAATTGGTGAAAAGCAAATGTATATGCGTGGGTTCGGGTCTATTTCAACATTTCGAAGAAGAAAGGAAAGGATACTCTCAAGGTCGTCGCGCGTAATTACTGAATCTCTTTCGACTCGCCTCTCCGGTCTCATCCCATCGCTTTTTTCCCACACGCACTAGAAAACACGTTCTCGAATCTCATCGGGCACATCCGCATTACGTGGATATCGTCTCATTTTTATTTTATGTTCAGGTGGCGACCTTCGCTCTAGTCGACAACAAGTGGGTCAATGACATGCTCGACGGAGGAATATCCCAACAGTCGACCCAGAGTGTTTCCGGGTCTTCCGGACAGTTGTCCTCCCAGTACCACTACCACAAGCCCGGGGTACCCTGTGACTGCAGCCAACCGCCACAAACCAACAACGGCTATCTTCCTCCTAAGTAAAACAAACGTTTGTTTCACACGCAAGCGACAAACGACTGAACGAATTTTATTTGGAAGCCGAACAGCTAACATAACGACGTTGTATTATTATTTTGTACCATTAACGGCGGCTACGGCGTTCGTTTTTCTCGCACTCGTGATGACAAGTGCGCGCACACCTTTTTACTTCCTTCCTTTCAGTCCAAAGAAGTTTTGTGGTTTCAAATTATTTTGTTAAAAATTACTTGTTTGATTTTTACTTAAAAAAAAAAAAAAATTTTTTTTATTAATATAAGTGATTCGGTTAGATGTTGCTGTTGAAAATTAATTTTTCATTTTTCTTGCTTTAGTGGAATAATTTGACGAATACCACGGAAACCATGCCTCAGAATCATGGTTGTATAATTTACTAAAATTTTTTCAAATTATGAATATCCATGCAAAACTCACTCACACTTTCGTACATCATATGGTAATGCGATTAAATAATCTTATTAGAAAGGAATTAAAAATGATTCGAGTGTAGAAAAAACGAACTCGCAAAAAATTGTTAAGATGAGTGGCTTACTGACTTAGCTAAGATCTTGTTAAATATTTCATAAAAAAAAAAAAAAAAAAAAAAAAAAACAATGGAAGCCGCTTGTCTTTACGAATTGTTATAATAAGATAATGCAAGAAATCCAAAACGCAAGATAGTTTAAGATTGTTACTGTAAGCTTAGATTAATGCCTGCACGTAGATGTAAGACTACTCGTATTAAGTTTTTATAATAACATTTAATTTTTTTGTATTACAAGAGCATGTACTATACAACACGCAAATGATATTGCTTTTATATAAATATAAATTAAATAACTGTGATACAAAAAATAAAATACTGTACATTTGATTTTAGCTTACTTGCCTCGACTTCCTCACGTTCGATATAATTGAATAGAAACTAATCTAATTAATTTTTTTCAATCCTAGACCAAGGGAAGTGATTGTTTATAACAAAAAAGTTTATAATAAAGTGGTTATATTTACAATAACTTTTTTCAACATCCATGTAAAGAAAATTCAGAAAACTGTATTGAATAAAATAACAAAAGTATTTACGTTTTCGTATGTTTTTATAAATCAAATTCATAAAAATCTGATATTTATACGAATAATGATGAATGACTGTCCTACACTAAGATCATAAAAAAAATTTTTTTAGTTTTAAAACACCATTATTTTCTATAATATGAAGAGTAATCCAGAAAAATAATGAAATCACTATCGTTGATTTTCGACACATCAAAAGAATACGTTAAAACGTATGCAATTGCATTAAACATTTTTTGCTTAGGGATAAAATTTCATTATCAAATTTTTTGCTGTATTATTTATAAGTAGTCTATCTTTATCCAGCACTGAAAATTTTTCAATTTGATTTTTTTTTTTTTTTTACACAGATTGATCTAAATTTGACAATTAAAATATGCACCCAGTTAAAGTGTTTTTTATATTTTTTTGTCGCAATTTTTTATGTATTTAAACATTGATTACTTAAGATTTCTACTTTATTTTTATTTGAACATGTTGTAAAAAATTTGTTCCTTATAATGAGTATCATAATTTTAGTTTATTAATAGAATCAAAAATTTTTACGAATCTTAAAAAATTATATGAATGAACAATTTTGCATTACAGTTAATATAATAACAATTTACAGCACTCTATTTTTACAGTTGTGTAAACGTAAACATTATCTATGCTAGAATCAACGTATGTACATCAAATTAATTAATTTGAAAATCGTATAGTTTATAAATTAATACGTACGTAAAATATGATTGTAAAATTGCTTTCACGATCATGAAGAATTTTTTAACATTGAAACAATACAGTGTTTTGATACTTCATACTTCATCAAAAGTTTTTCATGGATAAAAATTTAATCATTAAATTGTGTTAAAAGAAAAGTTTTTAATATTATAATAAAAATTTAG